CTAACATAAATTTGTCATGTCATTCTAACAGAGAAAACCAAATTCTAGTCTTCATGCAATATAGTATTTAATGGTAAAAGCATTGCTAACTTTTAAAAAATAAACCCATCAAAGCTGAGCTATTCCAACTTTGCCAAAATACTGACATATATCATTTTTTCTCTTTACTCATTATTTAAATATTATATATTTATTTATACTTATATTCATACATGTGTATATGTATATATGTGTGTGTATATGTATATATATGCATGTGTATATATGTGTGTGTGTGTATACATATGATCAAGGCAAACAGAATTCACTTCTTGAATCTTCTACAGCTTTCAATCTCTATTTTGTTTCATCTTTTACTGTCCTCTTTAAGATTTTGGAATAAGCAGATATTTTATCATAGGATAAATTTATCCTTTTTTCACCTTAATGAGCAAAACCAGATCCCATTACCTTGCATTGTTAATTGTTTTTTTTTCCATAATACTTCTAGTACAGTTTTAATCATCCATTTTATGACTTTAACCAAATTATGAAGAATGGAACGTTGGTCGATGGAAATTGCTAAGAGGAGACACTTAAGATACAGACAATTATGCTAAACTGACCAAAAAAGCTTCTTGCTGAGGGCAATACATATATTTAATAACTATGTATTTTCTGTTAGCTAATCTCTCCATCATTGACCTGATATTTTGCTCTATTGCAGCACCCAAGATGATCTGAGATCTTTTCAGGAAACGAAAAATCATCTCCTTTGGGGGCTGTATAGCTCAGGTCTTCTTTAGCCATGCTGCTAGGGGCCCTGAGATGGTGCTGCTCATCGCCATGGCCTTTGACAGATACGTGGCCATATGTAAGCCTCTCCACTACCTGACCATCATGAGCCCACGAGTGTGCATTTTGATGTTAGCAGTTGCCTGGACCGTTGGTCTCACTCACTCATTGGCCCAGTTGGCTTTTGTGGTAAACCTGCCCTTCTGTGGCCCTAATGTCTTAGACAGCTTTTACTGTGACCTGCCTCAGCTCATCAAACTTGCTTGCATAGTTACCTATAAACTGCAGTTCATGGTCACTGCTAACAGTGGGTTCATTTCCTTGGGTGCTTTCTTCTTGCTCAACCTCTCTCACATCTTCATCCTTGCCACTCTCCGGAAACACTCCTCAGGGGGTTCACCCAAGACTCTTTCCACTCTGTCAGCTCACATTATTCTGGTGGTTTTCTTCTTTGGTCCACTGATTTTTTTTCTATATGTGACCTCCTTCACCATATCTGGATAAATTTCTAGCTGTATTTGATGCAGTTTTAACTTCTTTTATAAATCCAGTCCTCTACACTCAGAAACAGAGTCATGAAGATGGCAATGAAGAGAGTGTTCTGTCAGCTTATGCATTTTAGAAAAAATCACTAAGTGGCTTTATTGAAACACACAACATCCAAGGGACCATTGATAAATTTCTATCCCTAAAGAGCCAGTTCTCATGCAAGAGGGACCATCTTTCTGAGGTTTTATCTTTTTCTTTCATTTAAAACACATTCCTCTGTTTCTTC